GAACTTCGACTCCCAGAATTCAGCGTGCTTGGAGTTCAACTCCCAGAATTCAGCATGGTTTGACTTCAACTTCCAGAATTCAGCATGCTTTCTTCAACTCCCAGAATTCAGCATTCTTTGACTTCAACTCCCAGAATTCAGCATGCATGAACTTCAACTCCCAGAATTCAACATGCTTTCTTCAACTCCCAGAATTCAGCATGCTTTGACTTCAACTCCCAGAATTCAGCATTCTTTGACTTCAACTCCCAGAATTCAGCATGCTTGTTCAACTCCCAGAATTCAGCATGCTTGAACTTCAACTCCCAGAATTCAGCATTCTTTGACTTCAACTCCCAGAATTCAGCATGGTTTGACTTCAACTTCCAGAATTCAGCATGCTTGTTCAACTCCCAGAATTCAGCATGCTTGAACTTCAACTCCCAGAATTCAGCATTCTTTGACTTCAACTCCCAGAATTCAGCATTCTTTTGACTTCAACTCCCAGAATTCAGCATGCTTGTTCAACTCCCAGAATTCAACATGCTTGAACTTCAACTCCCAGAATTCAGCATTCTTTGACTTCAACTCTCAGAATTCAGCATGGTTTGACTTCAACTCCAAGGATTCCCCACCCAGCATGCATGGACTTCAACTCCCAAAATTTTCCAGCCAGAATATGTGAACTTCCAATTCCCAGAATCTCCCAGCCGGCGTGCATGGACTTCAACTCCCAGAATTCCTCAGTCAGCCATGGGAATTCCCCACCCCTTAAAGTTGCCAAGTTGGGGAAAAAAAACCATCTATGTAATTTGTTTTGCTGCTGAAAAATGTTTAAAAACGAAGCTTTCCCACGGTATCCGATTTCTTAATCCCTCTTTGGGATCCCTTCTCATCTGGTTCCCGTGTTTATTTTTCTACAAATCTATTTCCTGCTCGGTCAGATTGGTCTTCCCTTCCCTTCTTCCTTTTCTGGATCGTTCTTCCCCAGTCACTCCTTCCCAAATACGCCCCCCCCCCAAAAAAAAGGGGGGGCTGCAAGAGAGTTAAAAGAAATCGGCTTAAATCTGGGGATCTTCAAATTTGGCAACTCTTGTGGACTTCAACTCCCAGAATTCCCCAGCTAGCCATAAGTTGTGGTCATAAGTTGAGGGTCTACCTGTATATTTTATGTCCCCCCCCCCCGACTGCTGTGTCTCCTCTGTATGTATCTAACGCTAATATAATACACTATTATGTGAAAAGTGGCAATTTGTAATTTGATAAGCAGAATAAAAGTGGTGCGTTTGCCATTAGAAGCATCTGATTAGATAACATAGAGAGGAATTAAGAGAGAAGAATTTCAGGAATGAAAAATAACGACTCATTTTGAAAATGAAGAGACAAGAAGATCATCAGCCATGTTCCTAGTATAGAATTTCTCCACTTGGGCAACTTTAAGACAAGGTGGACTTCAATTCCCAGAATTCCCCAGCCAGCCATGCTGGCTGGGGGATTCTGGGAGTTGAAGTCCACCTGTCTTAAACTTATCCAGGTTGAGAAACAGTACTCTAATCCAGGGGTCTTCAAACATGGCCCTTTTATGACTTGTGGACAGCCATTTGTCCAAAATGGTATAGGGTATCCTGCCTGAGCACGGGGTTGGACTAGATGACCTCCAAGGTCCCTTCCAACTTTATCATTATTATTATTATTATTATAACTCCCAGAATTCTCCGGCAAGCCTTAGTTTACTCTCTTGCAATCCCTTCCTCTGCAATCTCTCCGCTTTAGTAGGAGGGGAAAAAAACAACAACAACAATAATCCAGGCATGCCTGGCTGAGGAATTCTGGGAGTTGAAGTCCACAAGTCATCAAAGGGCCACCTTTGAAGACCCCCCTGCCCTAGTCTACGGTCTTCCTTCACTGCCCATTTTAAGTAAATTAGGCCCAAAATTTCTTCTGCCAAAGGCACTTCCCGGGCACTCAATTAAATAAAGCTTTTCAATAAATATATTCTTCTACTAAAATCAGGGAAGGCAAAAACCCAACAGCATTCAACTTCACACATTACAGATTTGGCAGCATTAGAACTCACCTCCCCACCCACCACCCACAGATAGCAACGAGAGAGAATAGAAACATAAGATTTGGAGGCTGACATACTTGTGGCTAAAAAGTCTGGTTCTCTTTCAAAATCCCTGCACTTCAAACAAGTAGCTCTTCAGGTGACATCTTTCCCATTAAACTTCTCTCTGAGTTGCTAGATGTCTAAATGCAGGGAGAACTGCAGATTCGAACCAGGGCATTCCTGACAGGCCTGTGCTGGCTATTTGGGGAGGGAGGATGACCCAGAGATTGGCAGAGGGAGGAACAGCAAAATTATTCATCATTTCCGGGTGCTGGAGGATGGGGCATTCTGGGAGTTGAAGTCCATTCCTCTTATTAGGGGACTGGAGGCTAAAGCATATAAGGAACGGTTGCTGGAATTGGGTATGTCTAGTTTAATGAAGAGAAGGACGAGGGGGGACAGGATAGCAAGTGTTCCAGTATCTCAGGAGCTGCCCCAAAGAAGAGGGAGTCAAGCTATTCTCCAAAGCCCCTGAAGGCAGGACAAGAAGCAACGGATGGAAACTAATCAAGGAGAGAAGCAACCTAGAACTAAGGAGAAACTTCCTAACAGTGAGGACAATTAAGCAGTGGAACAACCTGCCTCCAGAAGCGGTGAATGCTCCAACACTGGAAGTTTTTAAGAAGAGACTGAACAACCATTTGTCCAAAATGGTATAGGGTTACCTCCCTGAGCAGGGGGTTGGACTAGATGACCTTGAAGGTCCCTTCCAACTTTACTATTATTATTATTACTATTACTATTACTATTATTATTATTATTATTATTAATTATAGGGGCCAAGGTTGAAAATGTGGGTAAATTTACTGCAAAACCCAGAAATAAATTCATACAGGCAGCCCCGGAGTTACAACTGTTCCTTTAGCGACCGTTCAAAATTACAACGGCACTGAAAAAAGGGGACTTGCGACCGGTCCTCACACTTATGACTGCTGGTCACATGATCAAAATACGGGCGCTTGGCAACCGGTGTGTATTTACGACGGGTTGCAGCGTCCCGGGACATGTGATCCCCTTTTGTGACCTGACCAGCTGGCTTCCTCAACAAAACAAGTCAGATTCACTTAATGACCAAGAGGGATTCATTTAGCAACCGGGCAAGAAATGTCGTCAAATCAGGTGTGACTCACTTTAACAAAGGTCCCGCTTAGCGATGGAAATTCTGGTGTCAAATACCGTCGTTTTAAATCAAGGAAGTGGACTAAGCATAGTGTGTGTTTCTTTGAACGCCTTCCAAGAAAGGAAAGAGCGAGATCGTGTAAACGATTCCATCTGTAAAACCAGGACATTCGTTCGGGAAACTCCATATCCGCCTTGCTAAAATATATATTTTGAGCCTGGGGTGAGTGAAAAACAGCAGCAGCCTCCAATTCTTATCTGTTTCTTCCCTTCTTTGATTTCTTTCCTTTTTAAAGCACTTATAAAATATCAGAAGAGGTGACGATATGGGACTGGATAGAAGTGAATTTGGATGTGCAGCTAGTCCTCAAGCTATAGCCATTCATTTAGTGCAGGGGTAGGCAACCTTGGCTCTTTTATGACTTGTGGACTTCAACTCCCAGAATTCCTCAGCCAGCATGGGGGAACTATGGCCCCTTCATGACTTGCGGACTTCAACTCCCAGAATTCCTCAGGTAGGGTGCGAGAACTGTGGCCCCCTTGATGACTGGTGGACTTCAACTCCCAGAATTCCTGAGCTAGCATGGGGGAACTATGGCCCCTTCGTGACTGGTGGACTTCAACTCCCAGAATTCCTCAACCAGCCTGGGGGAACTATGGCCCCCTCATGACTTGTGGACTTCAACTCCCAGAATTCCTCAGCCAGCATGGGGGAACTATGGCCCCTTCATGACTGGAGGACTTCAACTCCCAGAATTCCTCAACCAGCCTGGGGGAACTATGGCCTCTTCATGACTTCAACTCCCAGAATTCCTGAGCCAGAGTGGGGGAACTATGGCCCCCTTCATGACTGGTGGACTTCAACTCCCAGAATTCCTGAGCCAGCCTGGCTCAGCTTGGAAACCTCTCCCTTTCCCCTCAGTGTGGCTGGCTCAGGAATTCTGGGAGTTGAAGTCCGCCAGTCACAAAAGAGCCCAGGTTGCCTACCTCTGGCCTAGGCCCAGGCCGCTTTATGACTCGTGGACTTCAACTCCCAGAATTCCTCAGCCAGAGTGGGGGAACTATGGCCCCCTCATGACTCGTGGACTTCAACTCCCAGAATTCCTGAGCCGGCATGGCTCAGCTTGGAAACCTCTCCCTTTCCCCTCAGCATGGCTGGCTCAGGAATTCTGGGAGTTGAAGTCCACGAGTCACAAAAGAGCCAAGGTGGCCCACCCCTGGCTTTAGGCCATTGTGGTTGAAAAGGCACAGAGTGGAAAAATGTAAATATATATATATATATATATATATATATATATGGTGGGGGGAGAGAGGAGGAAGCTGAAAGGGAAAATTGTTGGCATCCTGGCTAGATCCTCTAAATGAGGTGCCCGAGAAGATCACGGTTACGCCAGATGTGCAATTAAAGGCATGCAAAGTGGAAAGGGCTGTGCGGCCGTGACTCCCCCTCCCCCAAATCTAGGGACTCCCCCTCGCCCCGGACACCCCCATTCTGAAGTTTCTCTGAACTTTGGGTGGAGGGCGACACCCCAGAATCTAAATCTGACGTGTCTCTCTCTCTCCCTCCCTCCGCGAATCCGGGGAAGGGTCCTTTCCAAGGGGAAGGGGCAGAAAAGACCCCCTGAAAGAGCCTTGGAACCCCCACCCCTCCAGAAATACCTTCCCTAGACAGCTGGAGGGGGGGGGCTGTTTGCTGAAAGATTGCGCAACCGGTTGTGGAAGGGGGACAGTAGTCCGGCCTGGGCGGGAGAGTCCCGGGGAGGTGGAGGAGCCGCGCGGCGGGGCGCCCCCTTCAGAGGTCAGTGCTGGCCTTGGCGGTCAGCGCCTGGATGCGGTTGGAGCTGCAGCCCTTGCAGAGGATGTGGCCGTCCAGCGGGTAGCAGCCCTGGTTGTCGCCTTCCGACAGGAGGCCCCCGCAGTCCTGCAGGGAGACACGGGAGGGGAAGGGTTGGGGCGAGAAAGGGGAAGTGGGTTAGGGGTCCTGCGGCTTCCCCCGGGGTCGGACACAACCAGGGTGTGGCTCTCCTTGCAAGGAGTGGGGGGGGGATCCGAGGTGTGAGGCCGAAAGGCCCGGGCGCTGACCGGGCGGGGACGGCCCTTCGCTTGAAAGGGGCTCAGCTTTGTCCGGGTTGCAAGCCCGATTCCCATCTGCTGACCCCCCCTGGGGTATTTCTAGAGGCCGAGGGCAAGTTAGGGCATGGATTTCTCCTTCCTCTCCCTCCCTTTCCTTCACTTCTTTCTTCTCTGTCCCTCTCCTCTTTCTCCCTCCCTCCCTCCCTTCTCTTCCTTCCTCCCTCCCTCTCTCCTTCCTTCCTTCTCTTTCTCTCCTCTTCCTCCCTCCCTCCTCTTCCTCTCCTCTTCCTCCCTTTCTCTTCCTCCCTCTCCCCTTCCTCCCCTTCCTTCTTCCCTTCCATCCTTCTTTCCTTCCTTCTTTCCTTCCCTTCTTTCCTCTGTCCCTCTCCTCTTTCTCCCTCCCTCCCTCCCTCCCTTCATTCTTTCTCTCATTTTCCTCCCTCCCTCCCCTCTTTCCTTTCTCCCTCCCTCCTTTCCTTCCTTCCTTCCTCCCTTCCTCCCTCCTCTTCCTCTTCTCTTCCTCCCTTCCTCTTCCTTCCTTCCCTTCCTTTCATTCCTAGCTCCTTCCATCCTTCTTCCTCCCTCCCTCCCTTCCTTCCATTCCTAGCTCCTTTCTCTTCCTTCCACTCCCCTTCCTTCCCTCTCTCCCCCTTCCTTCTTTCCTCTCCTTCCTCCCTCTCTTCCTCTCTTCCTCCTGTTCCTCCCTCTCTCTCTCCTTCCTTCATCCCTTCCTTCCTTTCATTCCATCCTTCCTTCCTCTTCTCCCTCTCCTCCTCCTTCCTTCCTTCGATTCCTAGCTCCTTCCTTCTTCCTTCCTCCCTCATTTTCTTCCTTCCTCTCCCCTTCCTTCCTTCCCTCCCTCTCTCCACTTCATTCCTTCCTTCCTCCCTCTTCCTCCCTCCCTCCCTCTCCTCTTCTTCCCTCTTCCCTTCCTTCCCTTCCTTCCTTCCTTCCTTCCTTCCTTCCTTCCTTCCTTCCTTCCTTCCATTCCTAGCTCCTTCCTTCGTTCTTCCTCCCTCCCTCCCTTCCTTCCACTCCTAGCGTCCTTCCTTCTCATTCCCATCTCCCTCCTTCCTCTCCCCTTCCTTCCTTCCTTCTTTCCTCTCCCCTCCCTCCCTCCCTCCCTTTGCTACCTTCTTCTTTCCTTCTCATTCCCATCTCCTTCCTTCTTCCTCCTTTCCTCCCATTTTTCTTTTCCTCCCTTTCTCTTCCCTTCCCTTCCTGAGGAGGTCTCACCCTTGAAGTCCACCCATCTCCACCCAGCCCACCTTGAGCAGGGCTGTTTTATTCCAGCTGAAGGCTGAACTGGGGTTTGGGCAGCCAAGCTGACTTAAACTAGGATGTTTCGCCCTTTCCGCGAGGCCAGGATTCTGTGCTTCCTGCAAAAAGCCCTCCTGGGAAGACGGCCGGAGGCCTCCTAAGTTCCACTCAAAGGGGGGGGGGGCAAAGCAAGAGAGGGAGGGGGAGGGGGCTGGAGGCACCAACCTCACACCGGTAGCACTGGACATGGAAGTCGCGGTCCAAGGCCACGATCCGGACGGTTTCCTCCTGGCCCTGGGCGGGCATGATGGGCTCCTTGCAGACGGAGCATCGTGGGGCAAATTTCCTGGGGGGAGGAGGAGGAGGAGAATTATCCACAATTCAATATTTGGGTAGACAAAGAAAAGTCTTAAGCGTTAGATCCACTTAAACCCTGGAACAGATTGGATTAGAATAGATCCAATAGATTATTATGATTATTATTATGGATCGTCGCACAGTCAGCCAGATGTTCAGACTGGATTTGGCATTTTTGTCTACCCATCGAGTCCTTCCCAAGGACCTGGGATAGGCAGATGTGGATGTTTGACGGTATTACAGACCTCGTCGCAGGATGGAAGCCGTTCCTAGTAAGGCCGCCTTTTGCAATTGACTAATAGCGAATTTGTCAATGCCGATGATGGTGTCCAAGTGGTGCTCCAGTTGTTTTGGGATTGCACCCGAGGCACCTATTACTATTGGTACTACCCTGGCTTGCCTTTGCCCCAGTCTTTCTATTTCTATTTGTAGGTCTTTGTATTTTGTTATCTTCTCCAGTTGTTGTTATTATTATTATTATTATTATTATTATTATTATTATTATTATTATTATTATTATTATTATTATTATGGATCATCGCACAGTCAGCCAGATGTTCAGACTGGGTTTCGCATTTTTGTCTACCTATCGAGTCCTTCCCAAGGACCTGGGATAGGCAGATGTGGATGTTTGATGGTATTACAGATAATCGTCGCAGGATGGAAGCGGTTCCTAGTAAGGCCGCCTTTTGCAATTGACTAAGGGGGAATTTGTCAATGCCGATGATGGTGTCCAAGTGGTGCTCCAGTTCTTTTGGGATTGCACCCAAGGCGCCTGTTACTATTGGTACCGCCCTTGCTTGCCTTTGCCCCAGTCTTTCTATTTCTATTTGTAGGTCTTTGTATTTTATGATCTTCTCCAGTTCTTTCTCGTCTATTCTGCCGTCTCCAGGCACTGCCACGTCCACCATCCAGACTATTTTGTCTTTCTTATCGACAATTGTTAAGTCCGGGGTGTTAAGTTAGTAATCCGGTTGTTAAGTGAATCCGGTTCTCCCGTTGACTTTGCTTGTCAGAAGTTGGCAAAAGGGGATCAGGTGACTCCACCCCCCCCCCGGGACGCTACGACCGTCATAAACAAGAGTCAGTTGCCCAGCGTCTGAGTTTTGATCACGTGACCACGGGGATCCTGCGACGGCCATTAAGGGTGAAAAAGAGTCAGAAGTCGCTTTTTTCAGTGCCGTTGTAACTTTGGACGGTCACTAAGCGAACTGTCGTAAGTCAAGGACATCTTGTACGGAGGGATTAGACTGGGAGAGGAGCAGGTGAGAAAGAAACTCAAGATTTCCTTGTCTTGATGCTCTTTGGTATAAGGCAGGGGTAGGCAACCTGGGCTCTTTTATGACGCATGGACTTCAACTCCCAGAATTCCTGAGCCAGCTGTGCTGAGGGGAAAGGGAGAGGTTCCCAAGTTGAGCCATGCTGGCTGAGGAATTCTGGGAGTTGAAGTCCATGAGTCATAAAAGAGCCAAGGTTGCCTACCCCTGTACTAGGCCGCTTTATGACTCGTGGACTTCAACTCCCAGAATTCCTGAGCCAGCCATGCTGAGGGAAAAGGGAGAGGTTCCCAAGCTGAGCCATGCTGACACAGGAATTCTGGGAGTTGAAGTCCAGAGTCATGAAGGGGCCATAGTTCCCCCACGCTGGCTGAGTAATTCTGGGAGTTGAAGTCCGGAAGTCATGAAGGGGCCATAGTTCCCCCATGCTGGCTGAGGAATATGGGAGTTGAAGTCCATGAGTCATGAAGGGGCCATAGTTCCCCCATGCTGGCTCAGGAATTCTGGGAGTTGAAGTCCTCCAGTCATGAAGGGGCCATAGATTCCCCATGCTGGCTGAGGAATTCTGGGAGTTGAAGTCCACCAGTCATAAAAGAGCCGAGGTTGCCTACCCCTGGTATAAGGGGAAGAAGAGGGATTCTTGGCCAGGCATTCAAGATATTAAACAAGGAATACAGGCCTGGTGTTCTGTTAAACCGGGCTTCATCCTGTTGTGTGAACTCAACCCAGGTTTATTTTTCCTTCCTGTATCCCCCCATCCCACCCCACCGTTTCTCCAGCCCTCCGGAAGCTCTGCAAAAAAAATAATAAAAAAAAAATCTCGCGTCCCACCTGTGGAAATCCTCGATGCAATGAATGTTTCCGCCAGCATCCACGGTGAACGAGATGCCGTCCAAGCTCCGGGCGCAAATCACACAGGTGAAGCAGTGAGGGTGGTAAGCTTTACCGGTGGCCCGCAGGATGCGCTCCATGATGGGCTTGGCACAGACGCTGCACTGCTCCAGGGTGTCCTGCAGATGGGGGGAGAAGGAGGGGAATCGGTCAGCAACGGCGTTTGCGTGCTCTTTCCTGGTCTGAAGGCTGCTCTGCTGCTTTTATGGTTTTGAACATTTTAATTGTAATGTATGTTTTGAATGGCGAGCGGGCCAGGGTTTGCTGAGGTGGCTGTAGAAATCAATCAATCAATCAATCAATCAATCAATCAATCAATCAATCAATCAATCAATCAATCAATCAATCAATCAAAATCAATCAAAATCAATCAATCAATCAATCAATCAATATCAATCAATCAATCATTCAAACATGCAGCCATAGTTTTTGCAGAAGTTTCATGACCCAGCTAGATAACATCACTAGTGGTAGAAGGGAGGAGGAGGAGGAGGAGGAGAAGAAAGGGAGGAGGAGGAGGAGAAAAGGAAGAGAAAGGGAGAAGGAGAAAGGGAGGAAGAGGAGAAAAAAGGGAGGAGGAGGAGAAAGGGAGGAGAAGGAGAAGAAAGGGAGAAGGACGAGGATAAAAGGAGGAGGAGGAGAAGGAGGAGGAGAAAGGGAGGAAGAGGAGAAAAAAGGGAGGAGGAGGAGAAAGGGAGAAGGAGAAGAAAGGGAGAAGGACGAGGATAAAAGGAGGAGGAGGAGAAGGAGGAGGAGAAAGGGAGGAAGAGGAGAAAAAAGGGAGGAGGAGGAGAAAGGGAGGAGAAGGAGAAGAAAGGGAGAAGGACGAGGATAAAAGGAGGAGGAGGAGAAGGAGGAGGAGAAAGGGAGGAAGAGGAGAAAAAAGGGAGGAGGAGGAGAAGAAAGGGAGAAGGAGGATAAAAGGAGGAGGAGGAGAAGAAAGGGAGGAGGAAGAGGAGAAGGGAGGAGGAGGAGAAAGGGAGGAGGAGGAGTAAGAGACGTTTGATTACCCAACTAGGTAACATTATCAATGTTAATCCTTTCAACCCAGAGCAAGAAATATTCCGCTTTATTAGTTTATCCTCTCCCCAAATGTTGCTGGACAGATCATGAACTATGCAAAGTCCATTTCTGAGAAAGGCCGAGCATCCCAGCTCGCTCTCAGCACAATCCCGTCCCTTGCATTCAGACAACCCCAATTATCAACGGAATCCGTCTTCTTAGTTCTCCCAATCTGTGCAAAGTGTCCATACGATCTGAATAACAATAATAACAATAACAATAGCAATAACAACAACAACAATAGTAATAATAATAATAACAGCAACGAGACGACATTAGTTATACACTCCCTGTTGTCCAGGACTTTTTCATTACTAGCCTCAATTACGTCCTCCGGGTTACTTGGTGGCCTCCCATCCTAACCCGGCTTACAAACTTACAATCTGTTTAACGGCCGTTTCAAATTGGAACCGCCCTGAAAAAAAAGGGACTTAGGCCTGTTTTTCACGCTTAAACCGAATCACACCGTTGTTAAGCGAAACACACGGTTGTTAAGTGAATCACACGGCTTCCCTCCTCCCCGATTTTGCTTGTCGGAAGCCGGCTGCGGAGGTGGCCAAACGGGGCTCGCTCCACCCAGGGGGTCTTCGACCCTCGTTAAGTCCATGCCAAGCTGCCCGAAATTTGACCCTGCGACCTGAGAGACGCTGCGACGGTCGCAAGTGTGAGGACCCGTCGTAAGCGTCATTTTTCGGTGCCGTTGGCAACTTCGGCGCCTAAAGAAAAGGATTGCATATTGAGGACTGGCTTGCTGCTCAGTTTCAGGTGGGTTTCCCGTGGGGATGCATCGACGGTCGTAAGTGCGAGGACCTTTTTTTGAGGGCTCCGGTTAATTCGGAACGATCCTTAAGGGAACGGTTGCAAGTCAAGGACGACCTGCGTGCTCTTTCTAGGAGGGGCAGTTCTGCAGCGGGGGTCTTCCAGAGGGGCGGGGACTACAAACCCCAGCATCCTGAGCCATGGAAAGGACTCTGGGGTGGGGGGAAACCCCACCCCCCCAGAGGCACCCTGGTTATTCCCCTCGCCCAGCATTTTGTGGTGCTGAAGATGTCAAATCACAGCTGGCGACGCTGTTCGAGCCGGCATGGGGTCCCGACATGCACGGATTCGCATCTCGGGCCTCCCGGCGTGTCTCCCACACAAATGTCACACCAGACAAGCACAACCTTTGATTCACGCAGGCTAAGCGGAGGGTTGCTACAGCCGGCGAGAAAGCTCGTCCACAAAGGTGCTTTTTTTTTTTTCAACAGGCAAACCGGACTTTCTTATTTTTCTTTGAAGACGTTTCGCTTCTCCTCCCAGAAGCTTCTTCGGCTCTAGACTGGATGGCAGGGAAAGGGAAGGATTTATACTCCTTGCAGACAGCTGGTCCTTTGCCTTCTTTGTAGAGGGTCGTTGAGGCCACCTGGGGGCTTACCTGTGTCCCCGGGGTCACCTGAGTGGTGCAAATGGGTGTTTTGCCAACAAGGTCCCTGCCAGCCCTACGATTCTATGATCCTGGGCAGGGGGTGGACTAGAGGACCTCCGAGGTCCCTTCCACTGCTAAGATTCTAGGATTCCATGATCCTGAGCAGGGGGTGGACTAGAGGACCTCCGAGGTCCCTTCCTGCCCTAGGATTCTATGATTCCATGATCCTGAGCAGGGGGTGGACTAGAGGACCTCCGAGGTCCCTTCCACTGCTAGGATTCTATGATTCCATGATCCTGAGCAGGGGGTAGACTAGAGGACCTCTGAGGTCCCTTCCAGCCCTAGGATTCTAGGATTCCATGATCCTGAGCAGGGGGCTGGACTAGAGGACCTCCGAGGTCCCTTCCACTGCTAGGATTCTAGGATTCCATGATCCTGAGCAGGGGGTGGACTAGAGGACCTCGGAGGTCCCTTCCAGCCCTAGGATTCTAGGATTCCATGATCCTGAGCAGGGGGCTGGACTAGAGGACCTCCGAGGTCCCTTCCACTGCTAGGATTCTATGATTCCATGATCCTGAGCAGGGGGTAGAGGACCTCTGAGGTCCCTTCCAGCCGTAGGATTCTAGGATTCCATGATCCTGAGCAGGGGGTAGACTAGAGGACCTCGGAGGTCCCTTCCAGCCCTAGGATTCTAGGATTCCATGATCCTGAGCAGGGGGCTGGACTAGAGGACCTCCGAGGTACCTCCCAGCATTAGAATTCTATGATTCCATAATCTTAAGCAGGGGGTGGACTAGAGAATCTCGGAGGTCCCTTCCAGCCCTAGGATTCTAGGATTCCATGATCCTGAGNGGGAGGAGGAGGAGGAGGAGAAAGGGAGGAGGAGGAGGAGAAAGGGAGGAGGAAGAGAAAGGGAGAAGGAGGAGGAGGAGGAGGAGAAAGGGAGGAGGAGGAGAAAGGGAGGAAGAGAAAGGGAGGAGGAGGAGGAGAAAGGGAGGAAGAGGAGGAGGAGAAAGGAGGAGAAAGGGAGGAGGACTATGGAGTCCTTGGTGCTCTCTGAGTTGGGTTGTTTTCTCACAGACGTTTGATTACCCAACTAGGTAACATTATCAATGTTAATCCTTTCAACCCAGAGCAAGAAATATTCCACTTTCTTAGTTTATCCTCTCCCCAAATGTTGCTGGACAGATCATGAACTATACAAAGTCCATTTCTGAGAAAGGCCGAGCATCCCTGCTCGCTCTCAGCACAATCCCATACGTCGCATTCAGACAACCCCAATTATCAACGGAATCCGTCTTCTTAGTTCTCCCAATCTGTGCAAAGTGTCCATACAATCTTAATAACAATAATAACAATAACAATAACAACAACAACAACAATAATAATAATAATAATAACAGCAACGAGACAACATTAGTTATCCACTCCCTGTTGTCCAGGACTTTTTCATTACTAGCCTCAATTACGTCCTCCGGGTTACTTGGTGGCCTCCCATCCTAACCCGGCTTACAAACTTACAATCTGTTTAACGGCCGTTTCAAATCGGAACCGCCCTGAAAAAAAAGGGACTTAGGCCTGTTTTTCACGCTTAAACCGAATCACACCGTTGTTAAGCGAAACACACGGTTGTTAAGTGAATCACACGGCTTCCCTCCTCCCCGATTTTGCTTGTCGGAAGCCGGCTGCGGAGGTGGCCAAACGGGGCTTGCTTCACCCAGGGGGTCTTCGACCCTCGTGAAGTCCATGCCAAGCTGCCCGAAATTTGACCCTGCGACCTGAGAGACGCTGCGACGGTCGCAAGTGTGAGGACCCGTCGTAAGCGTCATTTTTCGGTGCCGTTGGCAACTTCGGCGCCTAAAGAAAAGGATTGCATATTGAGGACTGGCTTGCTGCTCACTTTCAGGTGGGTTTCCCGTGGGGATGCATCGGCGGTCGTAAGTGCGAGGACCTTTTTCTGAGGGCTCCGGTTAACTCGAAACGATCCTTAAGGGAACGGTTGTAAGTCAAGGACGACCTGCGTGCTCTTTCTAGGAGGGGCAGTTCTGCAGCGGGGGTCTTCCAGAGGGGCGGGGACTACAAACCCCAGCATCCTGAGCCATGGAAAGGACTCTGGGGTGGGGGGAAACCCCACCCCCCCAGAGGCACCCTGGTTATTCCCCTCGCCCAGCATTTTGCGGTGCTGAAGATGTCAAATCACAGCTGGCGACGCTGTTCGCGCCGGCATGGGGTCCCGACAAGCACGGATTCGCATCTCGGGCCTCCCGGCGTGTCTCCCACACAAATGTCACACCAGACAAGCACAACCTTTGATTCACGCAGGCTAAGCGGAGGGTTGCTACAGCCGGCGAGAAAGCTCGTCCACAAAGGTGCTTTTTTTTTTTTTTCAAGAGGCAAACCGGACTTTCTTATTTTTCTTTGAAGACGTTTCGCTTCTCCTCCCAGAAGCTTCTTCAGCTCTAGACTGGAGGGTGGGGAAAGGGAAGGATTTATACTCCTTGCAGACAGCTGGTCCTTTGCCTCCTTTTAGAGGGTCGTTGAGGCCACTTGGGGGCTTACCTGTGTCCCCGGGGTCACCTGAGTGGTGCAAATGGGTGTTTTGCCAACAAGGTCCCTGCCAGCCCTACGATTCCATGATCCTGAGCAGGG